AGGATTCATGTTTGAAGAAAAAGGCGACACTGCCAGTGGAGGATATCAGTTTGAGGAAGAAGACGTTGTAGCAGGTATATCAGTCTCCAAGTGGTAGATTGTTAAGCGCTGGAGCCCGACCCACGCCTCTTGATACCCCTCCCTTTAGCGTCGATTCACGAACCGTAGGCGCCAGCGTCTGCTGCGAAGCTTGGCTTCACTTCGTCCCGCTCAACTGTTCTTGCTTTCTTCTCGCGATAAAAGGTTCGCGCGACTGTCCTTTAGAGTTAAGTTACAGTTGGTGTTCTTTTTCGGTTTCCTCGGAATAGAGGAAGGTTTCCTCGAGATATAAGGAAGGAAAGTGCAAGAAGTAGTTCCTTGCGGTGAAAGAAGAAGAAAGAAGAAGAAGAAGATTTTTCTCCTTTGGTTTCTTCTTGGTGGCTTGTGGCAGAAGAGAAATTGAATTTATTTCTCTTGTAAGTTTGTTTTCTTCGGTGTCTTCGGTGTATCTCGGTGTAGAGTTTCTTCGATGTATCTCGGTGCAGAGAGAATAAAAGAGAGTTGGGCAAAGAAAGAGAGAACAACGAAGTGAGAGATTCCTCTTGTAAGTTTGCTGTAAATTCCTGAAATAGTAAAATCCTCTGCAACTCCGTGGACGTAGGCAATTTGCCGAACCACGTAAATCTGTGTGTTCCTTTATGATGTGATTTTTCTCGTTCTATTTTTTTTTTTGCTTCGTCGATCGTTCTCCTGTTTGATTTATATATATACCATATCAACTGGTATATATATCTATATCTCGTCGCAACAGACTAAACCCCGCTAATCAAATCAGCCCTACCAAGTCGAAGTCATATAACTCAACAAAACAAGCCAGAGAGCAGCAGATCGTTAGTTTCATGCCTGTAAAATACCTAGAATATCAAAGCAAGGACAAAAATATAAAATCACCATATTACACTGTCTATTCTATAAATAAGAAGATCATCTCATGCAAAAAAAAAAAAAAGAGGAGATATCTCGAATTTCAGTCAATCTCACTATTTCTCTCTCTATTCCTCTTTTTTTCTATGCTCTATTCTTCGATGTTTGATTTACAGATAAATTAAGCTTCAACAATATCTAATACATAAATTTTAAATTATATATTTATACCACCCAATGTTTCCTATCACATAAAAAAATATAACTACTTTTGCTTTTAAAGTTATGAAATACACATTTTCAAACATAAATAAGGTGTAAAAACTAAAGAATTAGTGTTAGATAAGTAAATACATAGAAATTAAGTATTATTAATGTAAATCTTCCAACTTATATTTAAATTATTTGAATAAGCTCTTTTAGTATTTTTAGTGCAAAACCAAATAGCTTAAGGTGAAAATTTGTGAAGATAAGATATGAAGCAGTTAATTTTTTAAATGTACATACATACATATATATATATATATATA